AGAGCCCAGCTGCTTGTGGGCAGGCTGAAACCCCATGGCAGGGATTGCAGGAACTTCAACACATCAGCGGACAAAAATTCAGGGTTTGAATTTTGAGAGTTGTCTGTCTGTCTGTAATGTAACTTTGGTTGCTGATATTATTTGCTAGCTTTCTTTGCCAGTTTATGAACATAGGGAATCCTCTGTCTCTGCTGTGTGGGCTTTGTGCCACTCAGAACCAAAGGTCATTTTGCTGTGATGAGTTAATGTGAGATAAGATTCTCTAAGACTAATGCAGTCCATCCTTTTGAGAGTACTCATTTATTTACTGTAGAATTTTTGTTTGCTTGCTTGTTTGTTTTCTGTTTTTAAGATCTCTGCTTATATGCAAGATTTCATGCTGTCACAAAATTTATCAAGAAAATGCCTTGGGTAATAATTGGCTCTAGCATCTCAAAGTTGTTAACACATAATAAATAGATGTAATGAAAATGAAGGGTTTATGATAAAGCTTTTCAGTGATAATTATATATGCCTAAACACAGTTTTTCAAAGTTTTTGGTAACTTAAAACTTTGGAGTTTGCTGGGTTAAATAATAAAAATTAAATATCTAGGTATTTTGAAATAACAGGATACTCAAATATTAATTAATCTGAGTTTGCATACTTTTGGATTTTTATTACAGAGAATCAAGAAGATAGATTTGAATCTATTAATGAATCTGTCTTGTATTTTATTTCAAATATATCTCTTAAAAATGTAAGTGTATTGCTAATCTGAGAAATGTTATGTAATTTCTTGTCACCTAAAATTTAAGGTTTCTAAGAGTTAAAAAATTCTAACTAATTGAAAATAAATTACATGGTTTTGGTAATAGAAGACATGAGGTATAGACATGCAGTTTTGAAGGGAAAAGGAAATTAAGTTGTTCTAAAGCTAATTAATAATAAGATTTATAGAGTTAATAATATAAGTTATAGAAGTATTGTGAAGAAAAATCTTAAAAAGAAATTAGAGGTAATCTGAATAAATTTAATTAGATGAATGAATCTAAAGTAAGCAAATACAGAATTTGTTTAGTCTTTCTCCAGTCTGTTAAAAGGGAAAAAGTTTTTCCTGTATTTGCCTAGGAAGCAAAAGTTATATAAAGTATTGAAATAATTATATATTGTGTTTTTTTAATCAGGTCCTTAATTACTTTAAAAAAAGGTGATCTTCTTAATTGTGGGAAGTAAAGTTTTGCTAGCCTATGTTTGTATCATTTTGAATGAATAAATAGTCTAATACTGTTTCATAAAAATGATGATGATATATAATCTTTTGGTAAAATAAGTTTAGCAATCTTCCCAGGATTTCAATTTTAAGAAACTTTTTTGACCTAGAATTGGCTTTAGGTCATTCCAATAGGCCCTGGAATGCCTCGAGGATTTGTTTTCTCTCTTTATGAAGGGACATTTTATAGTTAAGGTACATGGGAAGCTTTGTCAAATTAAGAAGTAATAATTATGTTCTATTTATATATCATATTAAGTAGATTTTGATATGCTTTCAGTTATAACTGTTAGTTAAAATATTGTGGAATACTGTGTTTTACAGAAAGGACAGGATTCCATGTCTTTTGCAATATAATCAAATCCATAACTATGCCATTTTAAATTTCTTGTTATTTAGAGACAGTCACTGTTTTGTTATAATGCATCTGGAAAGATGTACATTTTCTGAGGAATCCATGGAAAGGACTCTGACCTTTTCAGATCATCTCCTCTGAACTGAATGAAATTTATTACAACTCTAGGAAGTATCTGAATTTATAGAAGTATTAACAGGAAAAATCAGGAGAAACAAAATTTGATTATGGGACTCAATGAACTGAAAATCTATACTAATCTACACTAATAAAAGAGAAACATGCAAATTGGTGTCACTCCGCTAAGCCCACCAGCCAATCAGGATGGGCATGCAAATTAACCCAACAATGGTGGCAGTTAATTTGCATATACAGGCCCGGAGTGAAGACTGAAGGCTCTAGCCCCAGCAAAGACTGAAGACTGAAGAGGCTTGCCTTCTCCACTGTGGCCAGAGCAAAGGCCTGGGTCCCGGGTGCCGGAGGAAAACCGGTGCCAACAGCCAGGGGAAGAAAGGCCTATTGCACGAATCTCTTCGTGCAACGGGCCTCTAGTAATATATATATATTTTAACTTTTGTTGAAAGTATTGCTGACTCTTAATCTTTTTGTTTTTCAGATATAAGGAAGCATTTTTAAAGCAACCTGGTTAATTATATTTTTCTCCCCATCTGATCCCTCCACAGAATTTGGCAATTCTTAATGAGTGAGTCATGGCAATGCACTTCTATGCATTAATTCAATAAGACCAGTTTACAATTGTGGTTTTATTAACTAAGGACTTTGGAATGTCATGTGTAACATGTCTGGACTCTGGTTGTCACCAGAAAGCTTTAAGGAACGAACCCAATAAGAGCACCTTGGAGAAAGCCTGATACCTTGCTTGGTCACATGGTTCATAGCAGTCTTTCCAGGGAATGAACAAAGGAAATATATAAATGAGGGACCTTTATATATTTGGGGCAATCTATTCATTTGGGGAAAGTCACAAATGGGGACCTTTATATATTGGGACCCATTGTCTGGGAAAAGGATGCAGGAATGTTTTCTCTAAAAGTTGCTGCAATAACTTGTAGTGGATGTCTGACTTTTACTGGGTGTTCTAGTTATTGTCTTTCCTGAAAGCTGGCAAGGAAGGAACCTCAAGACATCACTGGGGACCTCAAGAACTTGAGGAATTCACCCAAGTATACAGGTATTATTGCAAGCAAGCCTGATGGCAGGTAAGTGGCTCAGCTTCTTTGCCCTGCGGGGCTAATTAAAGCTGGAACATAAGATTCCAGGAAAGCATATTTATATATCTATATCTATATATATATTTAAAGGCCTATGTACTCAACTGTTATTCTTATTGTGGTCATGCAAATGATCAGGCCAAATTGAAAATATACTTAATACAGTAAATAAATCGACCTTAATTTGGCACTTTAATGAAAATGAGGGCAATTTTAGGGGGGGAAATTGTGTTTCAATGGGGAATTATTAGAACTGAAATGTGTTTGGGGGGATTTTCTTTTCACCAGACCATTTATTGTAATTCTTGCTGTTCTAACTTTTGCCCAATAATACTGTTATAACACAGTGTCTACGCCAGGTTACAAGCCCTATTTGCACTTAGAGAATACCACCTCCAGACATCATTGCCACCTCCTTCAGTGCCCAGGCCTCATTGTCCCTCTGACAGAGAGCAAGGATCTCTTAGCTCTGAGAGAAACCTTTGCCCCTCCTTAGCAGGAAGCAGTTTCAGAAGAGACTGTGTCTCTTTCCCATGAAAGAATTCAGAGCTAAGATCCTTGAGGGGATGTGGTAGGCAGTTAGACAGACATAAGCAGAGTAAAGACAATAGGCCAACTGGAGAAATGGACAGGATCCTGAGACAGGATCCAGTGCATCTTGTCACTCCAACTGCTCTGAAGCTGGCAATGGAGAAACCTATGCAGGATGGACCTTTACACCTTGCCTAGTAGGAGTTGGAACACATATTGCTAATACATAGAATTATTCTATTCATTTGGGGAAAGTCACAAATGGGGACCTTTATATATTGGGACCCATTGTCTGGGAAAAGGATGCAGGAATGTCTTCTCTAAAAGTTGCTGCAGTAACTTGTAGTGGATGTCTGACTTTTACTGGGTGTTCTAGTTATTGTCTTTAAGTATCTAATAATTAAAATATAAATTGTGCTCATAGTTCCTCCCTCCCTTATAGTAATGGACATACTAAGCTTCTGGCTAGTTAGTTTCTGATGTGTGGGGTACTGTTTATTCATATTGCTACCAACAGCACCGGGGGCCTTGTTCCTTAGGATTACTGTCTTTATGTCTCAGAAACATCACAGGGCCCAAACCAAAAGAGACCTTCTCACACCCATGGCACTGGACTGCAATGATCTCCACCTGTGGAGCCCTGCTGAATATATTACTGTAACCATTTTTGTTATGCTGATAATGGTAGGCTTTCTTCATATAGAAGTGACCTGGCTGGCTTATAGCATGGAAAAAGCCCTGAATGCCACTTCCAGGGCTATACAGGGGATAAATCAAGAGCTGAGCCAGGTGAGGGAGGCAGTTTTAGAGAATCAGGTAGCAATACATTATTTGTTGTTGTGGCATAACCATAATTATGAGGAATTTAAAGGAATATGCTGTTTTAATCTTTCTGACAATTCTTAATTGATAAAAATTCCATAGATATGAGATAAACAGCAGTGGGGAAATGAGATAGAATGTGGGGAACCAGCTAGTATTGTAAGAAATATTAATCATGCTCTGTTAACCATTATTTATGGGGAAGGCACTTCTACCCTGGCTGGAGCTTATCTGGAGTTGCAGCCCTTGCCCCACTCCCCCCATTTGGAGCTGCTTATTATCATGGTAAGATTAACAAAGATTTGTTACAGAAAACAGATACGAGTCCTTTTAAGATCCCCAGCCCTTTTGGCATACCTGCAGGCCTTTGCAAACCTGCTTACCTGTTAATTGTCCATTCGGCACTCCCTTTGGCTATTTGCCCATGTAACCCCAGCCCTTGCATATCACTAAGCCCTTTGAAGACCCCTAGTCCTTTTGCATCTCTGTAAACTGCCCTTTCGCCTACTTTTCCTTTGGGTTTTTGCTATATAAGCCACTGACTTATGGTGAGCTGCAGAGCAGATTTCTGTGGCTAAGCTGCTGCTCTCTCATACTGCTGGTGCCAGCAGTTTTGGACTAAATGCTCATATATGATCCAACCCTGTCTCTGCTTCATTGGCTCGAGTAGACAGGCAGCATGGACCCATTGTTTGTCTGATTATAAGACCACAAAAAATTTAATGACCCAAAGTAGTAAAAGGAAAAACAAAAGGAAATAATGTGTGAAGAGACAATGAGGCAGAACTTGTCACATCAAAATACAAAGTTTCAAAACATTAGCTTTTATTTGACATTAGAAAAAATACTCCCCAATTTATCTCAGTTGTTATGTGATGGCTTTAGATTGCTTTTTGATGTCACCTATGCTGAGCAAGATTTGTCAATCTTCAAACCACCCAAGGCTGAGATTCTGCATTTCACATCTGTACACAAGTCAAAGAATTTCTTTCATTTAATGGAGCATTTTGGCATATATTCCCTTTGAGGTTGAAGAGTGGAGATAAGTACATTCTTATAAAAATGGATTTGTTTACTACTTTATTTATGTCACAAAAAACAGATGATGGTAGCATGTTCTCTTATTCTTGTTTTATCAGTAGTGGTAGTCTCAGGATGCCAGAAACCGCAAAAGGCAGGCTTGTAGCTACTTTCTTCTTTGCACTTTCCAAATATGAAAATACACCCCCAACTGAAGAAAAGAGTGCTACTGAGTCCAGCTGATACCACATATTAAAAGTCAAACATTACAGATGTATCTGATGTCAAAATTAAAATGTACAAAGCAAAAATCAGAAAAATCATCCCAAATTCTCAAATGTGCTACCTCCACATTTTCTTCTCCATTTATGCATGTTAAATGGCTTGCCATGTAAACTCAAGTATATATGCTTTTAAAGTATTATAAATTACAATGAACTATGAAGTCCTCTTCCTTTACAGTGAAATTAGCCTTTAGTTTTAACACTACTTTATGATGGAGGCCAAATTGATTTAATTGATAAATCACATTATGTAACCCAAGGCTTAGTTGATAATATCATCATTCAGCCAAAAAAAGAAATGAATCGAGGACAAAGCAATCCTCAAGTTAGACCTGGAGTTCATAAGACCAATCCAAAAAAAGGCAGGCTGCCCTTAGAAACAGGTTTGACCTTTTCTTTCACTCTTCCTCCTATCCCACCCTCTGTGAGTGATTTAAAAATAGAAAAGGTCAAAGCCCAGTGGGGCCTGGATTTAGAGGTTTGGGTTATTTTTTTTTTTAATTTTTCCCTCAAATTTTTGCCAATTATTTCTCATTTTTATTACTCTTAAAATTTAAGCATGATAAATTGTTAAGCCACTTTCATTCACTGACCATATTCTACCATATATAAGTCCTTTCATGACATGGTTTTGATACTGAGAGGCGATTTCTAAAGTTTAAGTCAAAATCTGTTGTTAAAGAGAAATCATATCTCCATCTTCAATCTTGCTATGTACTATCTGGGGATTGTTCCTTAGATCTAGTTAGGCAGTGTATATTTGTCAGAATGTAAAGGATAAAGAATTGAAAATAGACAAAACTGTTAAATGTTTCAAAACCAATTGTGGCTTGAGTATGCATGGTTCCCCAAGGCTGGTATGATTGACACTGTGGTTTGGGAATTAGTTGTCATCCCTTCTTCTATTCAACAGTGGCCAATCATTTTTCATGAGCTAGGAAAATGAAGTGTCTATTATAAAGAGGGTTCCTGGAACTTAAGGAGCTATCTCAGTGGAAAACCCTGCTTATTGTAGTGGCCAGAGTGATAGAAGAAATATGGAGTAGGAATTAAACCACACAATGTTACTCAGGGGCTAAGTCAACCCCTAACAAGAAAACAACCCAAAAGCAAAGTTTTTAAAATTTCTCTGGGAAAGCATACATTTCTCATGTCTCTTGGGCCAAGTGAGAACCTAACAAGTACTTTATATAAAATAGGCACTCAAATATACTTGTAGAATGAATGAATAAATGAAAAAAAGTGAATGAACAGTAATTTTTTATATTCTAGTCTCCAAGCTAGTTAAAAACAAGTGTCTTAGTTAAGATCTTTTCGTTTTCTGTTTAGAAATTAGCACATTGCAAATAGACACTTCTGTTTAATGTTTTATCCCATTCCTTGTTTTTTATTGCAGCTCTAAGATAAAATGCCATTTGTACCAGATCTATTTCTTTTAGCATCATCTTCAATGTTTGTATGAATGAGTAAGTAGGAAGCTCTCATTCCCACTCTACAAAACATGTCAAAGAGAAGGTGATCTATTTAATCATTCCTTCTCAGTGTCTTAATATCACAGCTGCTCAATGAAAGACCTGCAGTGATAAAATTTGTTCTTGGTGTTTCAACCATAAGCTAGAGGACATGAAAGTGCAGTTTGGTCTTTGGAATCTCTTAATTCTCTCAGCACTTTATTCAGAGTGAATAAATGTTTATAGAAAAATTCATTTTTATTGCTCATGTGGCTTCCTGATTCTAAGCTAGGCCAATGAGCAAATATTTTTAAAACCAGTTGTTTCATCTTAATTCTTATCTTAAACTATAATAGAAGCAGAAACTTAAATCAATGAATTAAAGGACAAATCCTGAGCCCTTTTAACAGTCTTCTGGCTTCAATTTAGGTCACTGAGCATGTGAAGTTGAGACTATCCAGAACTAGGGAAAATATATTAAAAGGACCATGACTTTTTTTTCCCTTTAATCTCCAAGGCGAGTCAATGGGATTTCTGAGCCATACTTACTCGACTCATTAAATGAGCATAGTGCTTCCCAGTTAATAAGCACTCAAATATTTACTAAAAAATCAAAGATGTTTTCATATCTGCAGCTATGATCTGTGTTCAATCTAAAGACCGTTAGACTAGGCCCATTTCACTGCTCTTATGCTCAGGACCTAGAATGATTTATTGCATACAAAATATGCTGTGCTTATCAAATGAAATCTAAAAGCACTGCTGAGCCCTTTATTTTTACTTCTTAAATATCTTTAAGCCAGGCCAAGGTGGAGCTAATTCACCTCCATCTTTAGCATTCAGCATTTAAAAAACTGATGGAGAACAAGAGCAGCTTGCTTTTTTTTAAAAAAAAAAATTCCATCTCTTTAATTAGGCGAGGGAGCAAGTAGCTTTCTGGTCTGGATTGTATCTTTCCATGTAGCTCAGCATTTAGCATACTGCTTTGCACAGTTTATTTTCTCAATGTTTTTATCATTAAATAAACTTAATAGTAGTTAAGTACTTTTTAGTCTGGAGCTCACACCTATTACATTATTTCCTTCTATAAGCATCCCATGAGGATAAAATTGTATTTATATACTAGGGCATATGTAGTTTTAAGCCTCATAAAAAGTAATCATTCATCATTCATTAAGCCAACAGTTAATTCCTTATATCTATATAGAACACTAGGCTTTCTAAATTTACACATAGACCTTTGTTACAGGTTCAATAATAAGGGTGATGAATTTTTGCAACACTAGTTGTTATCTCTGGGGATGAGAGTAAAAAATCAATATTCATAAAACATATTGCTTACATATGTATGGCAGTTCAAGACTTATAAATTGACTTCATACATTATGTTTGGCTATCAAGGACACAATAAAGATGTTTTATCTTCAGGTCCTTGGTGTCTAGCAAAAAGACTGGCATAGTAGACAATTATTACCCAGTCTTGCATTCATCATAAATTTAATCTTTTACATATTATATTGAGATTGTTCAATAGTTAATACTTCAAATATTTCCAAATTTTTATAGTACTTTGCACCAAGTGAGAAAAATCAATAGTGACATTTATATGGTGCTTTAGAGTTCACAAAATACTAACATATACTAACATATTGCCTTATTCTCAATTGTAGGCACAATAAAATTATAAATGTGTGTATCTCTTTAGTGCCTGTAACAGTGAGTTCACATAGTAGGCAACTGATATGCTTTCATTTAACAAGTACTCAAACCCTCAAGTTTGCATATTTATACTGCCTCTCTCATAGTGGGTGAATTTTATAAAGAATGTTTATCTCACGAAAAATTTTATTCACAGAGAAAATACCTAATGTCATATTTATATAGCACTTTATAGTTTAGAAAGCTCAGTCTCATTCATTACATTTTCCTGTTATCTGGTAATAATAACTTGATATTACCAGTAAAGTCTTGATTGATTAAAATAAGCATTATCTAATTTCCTTACATATAAATAATGCACAATATAAACCTCCCTCTTATTACTTGGGAGTTTTACCTTAGATTTCACAGAACCCAAAACAATAGTTGGCACATAAAAGGCAATTAATATTCATTCATTCACTCATTCATTCATAACATTTAGCTCATTGATATTTAGTACTTTAGTTTACAAACCACTTTAAAATGCATTTCTTATCTGAAAATTTTAATTCTATATTGAGATTGTTTTTTTCTGTTATCTGTAGTGTTTAGCAAGTTATCTGGCCCATTGTAAGTCATCAAAATAGCTTAATCCCTTCTGTTTGCTGTATATTTTACAGTTTAAAAGCAGTTTCTATGTGTTTTCTTTTCTGCTACTTAGAATACTGTATTTACTCAAAATCACCAAAGCAGCAGAAACACGGCTACAAATATATGAAATTTTCATTGATTAATCACTTAATTCCTATTATCTACATAGTATTGCATACTGTTGCTATGTAATCAATATTTATCAGCTCTGAAACTTAATACGTCTTTAAGCACTTTCATAGTTTAAAAGCATATTCACACATTTTTATTTAGGTCACCTGGATGTGATGATAAATAATCATTGAGTCCTTAGTGCCTAGAACAGGGACAGGCTCACACAAGGAAATTAATATTATTCAGCATTTACATCAGGGGTAACTATGGCCCACAGACCAAATCTACTTGGTTAACAAGGAAAGAACAGTTTTCCTTTTTAAAGGATTGGCGGTAGGGGGAAGTGAAATGTACAGACCATAGGCCTGCAAAGACTAAAATATTCACCTTTTCCCCTTTACAGAAAGAATGTGATGATCCCTGATGTACAAAATGCTTCAAAACTGACAGTGTACTTATAATACATATTAGCTGTGCATAGCTGGCAATACACTATTAATGAAAACACCTTATTTTCATATATATATCTCAGTTATTTAAATTAGCTTTCCTCATGATAAGGGGGAGAAAAAGGAAAGATTTAAATCTAATTGCTTCCAAATTCTGTCATCTTTAAGCCCAGAGGTTGATATTAAAACCTAGGGCAGGGTTGGTGTAGTCTACCAACTTATTAGGCCACTACTATGAGCAGGAAGTTCAGGCTGTCTCTCCTTGGGGCATCACTCTGTTCCAGGACTACTCATTCTTTTTTCTAACCATCACTAGGAATCCCAAACCCCAGGAATCCTGTTCACTCAAGCTCAAAGAAATCATGTTACTGGCTGATCCTTCTCAGCAGGCTGGCACATCTGTGTATTTTCTATCTAAATGTTCACATTGGCCTGAGGCATCTCTTCACATTTTCTCTACATAGCCTGACACTTTCCTCTTCTCATCAGCCTAGAGCTTCTGAGGAAAAGGGAGGACTGAAATACAATTTCACTTATATGTCTCTCTCAAATGGAGTGGAGGTGAAAAAAATAAACTTTTAATAAATGACTCAAAACTATAATAAAAAGAACCTTACACTGGCCCAGGCATAATATTGCCAATCTCAAGATATCTCCTCAAGGTAATAACAACATCAAAAAGGATATCACAAAATTAGTGGGCTTAAATGGAGATATAAAAACTGGAAAGGAAGAACTGAAAATATCCAAGGGTAGGGAGGATAGCAGAATAGAGTTTTAGGGTCCTCATATTGGGATTTCCTCTGGTCTTGGGGTTTCCAGCCTTCCTAGATTCAGGGTTATGGAACTCCAGCTTAATTTAGTCTTAAGATATCAGTCTCTCTTGGGCTTTCAAGTCCACACAGAGATGCTTGACTCCTCGGTCTTTATGTGTGTGTGACACCTCATATCCTTGGGTCTTAAGTCTTCAAGCTAAGTTTTTTTTATATCAGGTCTTGTGACTCAGGTCTCAGGCTTTCCATGTATCCCCACTCATAGGCTTGGTTCTTTCATCCTGGGTCTTCAGCCTTTTGTCTAACTCAAGACACAAGACTTGCATCCAACTCAGTTATCTGACAAGGGCCACCTTCTTTATGTACATAATGGCTCTAGGGCTTCTGATGGTCTCAAGGCTGAGGTTTACATCTATCTTGGGACACAGGTTTTATACTTTAGTCCACAGGTCTCAATTCTGTCTTCTGTGTTGGGAATTATATCCATTATGGGCCTTCCACCTTCTGTACATCTTAGGTCTTTGGATCCTTGGGCCTTCTACTAGTTTTGGATTTATCTCACAGGACGGCCTGGCATAAGGAACAGCTCTGCAATGCTTATTTTGATAGTAGATACTCTGCACCTATTGGGAAGGGGTTAGGAAACCCCTTTGTCACAAACATGCGCACATGGACGTACACATACACATATACAAAAAAAAATGCATGGAGAGAGGATTGCAAGAAATCAAAGGGGAAGACACAGACTCATGAAGAGGCTGAAGTACCCAAAGGTGGGTGGAGGGAAAAAGCAAAAGAACAAGAGAACAGAGAAAAGAAAGGTGAAATGGAAAGACACAAAGAACAAAGAGACACTGAGGCACATAGAGCAGGAAAAAGGAAAGAAAATGGCCCAAGAGAGGCAGAAAGGACATGTAGAAGAGAGAAATCCAAGATGAAGAGTAGAAACAGCAGAAAGAGGCCAGAATCAGAAAAAGGTAAAATGTCAAACTAACAAAATGGGAGAGAATGATGAACAACCAAGAGTTCACAAAGAGGAAAAAAAGAGGTGGACAAGACAAGGAATGAGCAAAAAGCATACAGCATGAGACTCAGAGACACAATGGGAAGAACAGTGAAAGAAGAGCAAGAGCTAGGAAAACAAAGACAATTAGTAACAATGAAAAAACGAGAGCCATCTAAGACAAGGCACAAATAACTCTTATGAACAAGAAAGAAAACGAGACAAAGATACACAGAGAAGAAACAAGCAAGAGGATCATGGAATTGGGTAAGAAACTTGAGAGAACAAAGACCAAAGACATTCAAGGAAAAAATAGATAAGCAAAGAAATACACACTTATGAGTGAAAGAGATAAGGCAGGCAGACATTTAGAAGTAGAAAGACAAGATATAGTGAGGGGCACAACAGCTATGAGAAACATCACAAAGAGAACAAAAAAAAACAACAAAAAAAGAACATTAATAACTACAATAAGCTATGATTAGTACCAATACTACTTATATCACTATTAATTATAATAACAACAACATGAGTGGCAGAGGATTTAAACACAGAATGTGTGCCTTTTTAATATTCTACTACAACTGTTTATAAGAAATTCCAAAAGCCAAATGAGATTCCACAGGTGAGCGAATATTAATATAAAGGGCCATTAAAAGGTCCTAGTCAATGCCCTCATTTTTTATCTTCATCCTTTCCCACCCCTTTAGAAAACTAACTTGATTTTCCCACCCATCACAATTATAACACTTGCTTTTCCTTTAACACTACTGCAAATACATTCTCTCACAAGATGATATAAGAAAGGGGGCCACCCTTTCAGCAACAAAACAAAAATTTTGTTTTAAGTTTCTTTATGTTTAGGCCTCTAAGAGTGGCAAAGAATTTATGCAGTAAACATAAAGAACAGATAAGGTGAGACTAACCTTAACACAACTGGTACAGAATAATTAATCATTAAGTTGCTTCAGTGAACCCAGTTGGCAATACAGGCATAACTTACCTCATTTTATAGCACTTGGCTTTACAGTGCTTCACAGATGTTGCATTTTTTACAACATCCTCTACCAGCAACAAGCTAACAACTCATTTTATTGCTGTATTGTGGTTGTCTGAAACCAAATTGTAGTATCTCTGGGGTATGCCTTTGCAGGTTACTGGTCATTATCCCATCTCACATTCAGGCCCCTCCTGCACAAAAACCACCATAGCCCATTGCACAAAAACCTCTGACAAACAGCTATTAGCTCCAAACAGGTCCTCACATGATTACAACACCAACAACTTACTTTATTCTGCTATTCTAAAATGCTAGAGTGCCAGGCATGTTGATCTTCCTTTGTTGTGTTCAAATTTCTTGCTCTCTGGATTGCTATTCAGAAGGATGAACGATTTGGTAGATATAAAGGGAACCATCAGGAGCTACAAAAAAAGGGGGGAAAAATAACAAAGGAAACTATATATGTGCATAAAGAAGTATTAACTGAGTACTCACTAGAGTTATGGGAAGATTCAAATTATGAGTTATAGAAACTATCTCTACAGAGCTTAGAAATGTATAAAGTTTAGGTCCTTAGAGGTAAAACTAATACAACTTCCTCATAGAATGGGAAACTATGCCACAAAGAGGAAAATGTCTTGTCCTTTACAATCAGGACTTACTACACTTGGACCATCTCCCAACCTGCAGCCACCTAATCAATCAGCCTGTCTCACATCACCATTTTCACCCATCTCATACACAGTTGCTTCCCAGGTGAGTTAGGAAGCTATTTTTACCAAAGCAGACACAGTTCATAATGATCAAAATAATTTCAGTGGAAATCTAAATGCAATGTATACTGAAACATTAAAGACAGTATCTTTATTGTGCTTTTAGGAACAGCTTACCCACCTCTGATGTGTGGAGGATGTCTTGAGACTTCACCTTCCTATCTGGGCCCAGGAAAAAATCTTGGTAGAACCTCCTGGCCTAGGGTTGTTGCCCAGTGGTAGTGAGCTATTCCCCTGGAGGATCCTCATGCCCCATCTCCACCTAGGGATCGTCAAAGGGAATAGGTCACTAACACTGCAAAGCAACAAGCCTATTCTTCTAAGGAAGGTCTGGAGAAGAGATAAAAGAAAAATAAATTACTGAAATGCAGTATACTGGGAAAGTCTGTCTCAAAGAACAACTAATAATTAGATTAAGTGAAGTCTACCCTTTTTTTCCCATGTGAATTGAAGGGTGGAGATTAAGAACTGTGGAGAGCTCTATATTCTAGCTACCAGCCTAGAGTAAAGCAAATGCTTCTACTACTCATTCCAGCTTTTCCCTTGAATTTCACCTTATCACAAAGAGAAATTTAGAGGTGAATTATTACCAAAATTCCCATACTGTACTTTATTCTCCAGTCTCTACTAATGAGCAGTCTTCTGTATTGTGGATTATTAATGTTCTAGTGTTCTCATCATAAAATAAAGTGAAAGGACAAAAAAATCAAGGGGTTGAAAATAGAAGGAATAGATAAAGCTTTCTAAACCAAAGAGCTATCAGGCTACTTAGAAAAGCTCCAATATTGTCTGATCCTATGAGTTCTACAAGAACTCTTCTTCATATTGCCTCAGGCTTCTTTTATAAAGCACTCTTAATAACTGAACAATTTACCACAAAGTGTCTCTCTCACCTAGTTTTGTATGATTCTTCTCTTTTAAAATATAGTTTTAGCCCTAGCCAGTTTGACTCGGTGGATAGAGCACCAGTCTGCAAACTGAAGGGTCCCAGGTTCGATTGGAGTGAAGGGCACATTCCCGGTTGTGGGCTCAATCCCCAGTAGGGGATGGGCAGGAGGAAGCCAATCAATGATTCTCTTTCATCATTAATGTTTCTATCTCTCTCTTCCTCTCCCTTCCTCTCTGAGATCAATATAGATCGACGCTCAACCACTGAGCCATGCCGGTTGGGCAGGATTCCTCTCTTAATTCATTTTAGTCAGATGCTGGAGCACTACCAATGGAAAAAATTGTTTTCTACTCAATCTACATGGGACATTTCTTGAACAGCTTACATAGATGGGACACCACCAGAGTCCCAGGATATTCAGAGAAACCAATAATCATTACAGTGATATAAAACGTCAGTTGTGCTGGTGTGGCTCAGTGGTTGAGCGTCAACCAATCAACCAGGAGGTCACGGTTCGATTCCTGATCAGGGCATATGCCCAAGTTGAGGGCTCAATCCCCAGTAGGGGGCATACAGGAGGCAACCAATCAATGATTCTCATCATTGATGCTATTTCTCTCTCCATCTCCTTTCCTCTCTGAAATCGCTATGTATATTTAGTTGTTATGGCAACTAAGGAAATCTACACAAAAGGAAAAACAAGGTGGAGAAGGCTAGGAATCTGGTAAATAGCTTAACACAGGACCTTGAGTCTCTTATTCTACCTTTTAGTAATTTCAAGTAATAAACCCTCAATTTCTTAAAATAATAAGGGAATGAGAGGGACAATGAAATTAGGTCTGCCAAAATAGGGCTATGACAGATCACATTGGTACTACTCATTAACAAATCCTTAGCACTTAGTACCATCTGCCAAAGGAAAGTAGAAATAATTTTTGAGGCTTGTTCATCAGAAGGCATAGGATTGTTCTCTCTCTCCTAAGTAGCTATGAGATTTTAAATGAAGCAATTTATTGTTTTGCATCTCTAATTCTTTATTTATAAAATGGGGACCAAGTATGCTTGTTGTTATAGACCTCACTGGAGCCTGCTTCTGAAGGGCAAATGAAATAAAAGGCCAAATTCATTCTGTAAAGTCAAAATGTGTATATATATATATATATATAATCTGTAGGATTTGAAACTGGCTCCTATTCTGTTTTAAAAAGGAGCTCTTGCAGGAAGTTAAAGTCCTTAAAGCCAAAGACAGAATAACCACAACAAACTCCTCAAACTACCTTTTTCTTCAGGTGGTCTGCAAGCCATCCTTCAATTAGTTGGAGCTTGTCCAGATTCTCAAAAGAAAAGATGTACTGAATATGGAGCTTCTTAGAGTTTCTTGTAGTCCTCAGGTCTCACCTATCCAGAATGTCCTTGGGAAAAAAAAAAAATAGGCCTCAGTAGGATAGGATACCAAAAACGGTTGAGAAAGTCTCAACAACATAGAAAAAAACCTAGGAAGCATGAACCTGAATCATTAGATATAATTGTGTCCTGTCTCTCCTGTACAGTCTCCCTAAGGTCCTATTAATGGCAAGCACTGGTAGTATCACTGAAGGTTAGGCAAGTGTAAAAAAAAGAACTAAATGAAAATATGTGTCAAACCAATACCCACCTGTGGGTGACTAAATTTGTGGCTTAAAGGTCATGCTTTTGCTGAAAATACTTCAAGATGCAATGTAACAGAGAAACTGCTACTACTGCCTGGAGGTACAATTGCCTTGACTATTTTTAATATTTAGTTAGCTGTCTTTACTATAAGATAGGAGCTCACTGGGGCAGGTATAAGCCAGGTTTGCAATCTTGAAAGTACTTTGCATAGTGTGGTATGGTGTGGAAAGAATCAGATACGACTTCCAGATTTCTAATCAGGAATTGCCATATATTTATAAGGAACTTTCTGTCAACATCAAACAAATTCTAATAGTAAGTGAAAGATCACTTACTCAACTCTATATTCTCTAGATAAAATGTCCAGTAAATCCAAACTGGTACTCTATGATGAACAGAATATAAACTATGTTCTCAATATGAACAGAACAAGCTTCAAAATCTCTTTGAAAATCCTTTCCCATCCTTATTTAACCTAAGATTAGATACTTCATCCCCAAATACAGGTGTCCAGTTATACATTATACATATTTACTGTGCTCCCTCCTGAAACCCCATTCATAATGGTAAATAGACACTCCATCTGGAAACAATTTTTCCCCGAAGAACTTTTAAAATGAATCCAAGCCCAAATCCATTTATATTGTCTAGTTAAAATACCTAAAAGGAAACAACTTTTCTGGTCTCCCCAGATCAATGTGGGAGACACATAGATTGGTTGCCTCCTTCATGCACCCCAACTGCCATTTGCAGTCCAGGGATTGAGCCTGCAGCCAAGGTACATGCCTTTGACCAGAATCAAACCCAAGACCCACTTAGTCCAAGGGCTTATGCTTTATCCACTGAGATAAACTGGATAGGGCCAGAATACCTGTTTTTACAGCTACAAGAGATTTTATTTCAAGCAATGAATTGAAAAACAACTTCAAAATTCACCTTTGGATGCTTCCTAGTGCAGACTTCAATCCATCTACAATTGACCCATCATTCCTAAGTAGGGGTTCAGAACTGGCTCAGAATTCATCCCTTTAAAACAAATTCCAATAAATAGTTATAGTTATATATTAACACTGAATGATCATTTAATTAGTAGCAATAAAAAATATCTTAAGCATAGACCAGTGTTTCTCATATTGGGGTGATAATAACAGTGGAGGTTTGTGGACCTCATGGATCCCCCACTACATAAATCATATAAAACATTATATATATATATATATATCTTTCACAAAGATATATCGAACTAGGGAAACATGTTTACATTTCAAATAATTTTAAGTCAGTGTTCCTCAAAACACATGTTCTTTATTATCTCAAAGAATTTTGTTCCTGTGGAACTTCAGTTTGAGAAACAATGGCACAGACCATGCTTCCAAAAAGGCTCAGGAATATTTGTATATTACTCCCAGTCAGTCAGACAAATAATGTCTTTAGGCATTTAGCTGTGAGGAAATATGGATATGAATTAAAATGGGCAGTAAGAGAAGCCCAGCACATTATGATTCTTCTTGTTCTTGCTAGGATATATTGATATGAACAAAAAATGTTTCAAGGTTGATGTTAATATTTTTCAGCTGCATGTTTGTGTTTGTTTTATATCAGGGAGGCTAAGCTTTTTTGCTTATCAAGGTACCTGTTGAAAAAAGGCAAAGAAGAAGAAGGTATATTAACTTCATCATAAAGTAGGCAAGGTCATGGCTTTCTTATAAAAGTTATGCTTCTCCATTGCCCTCTTGCCAAACTAAAAAGGCATCATAGCTACTCTCATCTGTTCTGGGGCAGAGATAGAATAAAAAGGTACAAAGAGCCAATATATCAGATTTATATCCCCAATTCCCGAACCTTGAAAAGCTCAAACTTATGAGATTTAACAATCAACAATTTGGCATGTAGCCAAACACAATGACTGAGCCTTATCTCTTTAATCAATTTCCATGCCTCCAAAGGAAGTAAAAACCAAATGGCATTAAATAAACCAACTGGACTACCCAGATGGCTGCAATATTAATCATATCCTGAACCAAAGAGAAGAAGTAAACCCAACTCCTTTAAATTTACCCTGTCAACCTCAAACCCTGGTGAGCTCCCTTTATAAAAGCTTAACATAATTCATACAAGACAGCACTTGATTATCATTTCCTAAAATTATTTCAAGTGTGCTTATATTAGCTCAACAATACTACCATCTATGGGATGAGATTATATATATATAGGACTATATTATTTCTAAATCTCACTTAGGTGTAACCTAGCATAGGACCAGGTACACAATATTAATTCTTATAATTCTGTTGGTTCACTCATATGGTGAGACTATATTTGCAGATGAGGTGAGAATTGGAAAAGAGACTTAACAGGAAACCTCTGGGTAGCATCTAAAAGAAAACAGAACAAGGGAAAGATTACTTAGTAACTACAAAATAGTACTTACAGAATTCTAACGAGCCAGAGACTCTTCTTACAGCTGTCCAAGGAGCTGGAAGTATAAACTGCACCCTGACCTGGGATGACCTTTTGACATCCTTCTTAGAGGAATAGTATTCTTTTTCAGTGATTACAAAGAACTGCTGTTGTGATGACTAGTTATTTGCTTCAGTAGTTCCTTATTAAATACTTCTCTGCCACCAAAACCTGTACACTAGAGGCTAGGCTAATCATTTTTACCAGGCAGCGCACTGTCAAACAAGTTTATATCCGGAAGAATGGCTAGATCTTAGCTTACTATTCTTTTGATATAAAACAGGGAAACAGGTCCCATCATTTTTAAGTCCTCATTATGTAATAGATTAATCAAATAAGGTGAACTTTGGTTTTCAAAAGCACCTCAGTATATGTTGTCTCATTTCATCCTTTTACAGTTATTATCTTCTTGAAATAAGTAGGGGCTGGTTGGTGTTCCAGATGAAGAAATTTAAGGATTAGGAAATTTAGGTAGTTTTTCTAAAAGAGAATGGTGGTAAAACCCAAATGGCATAGTTTTAGAATGGTGGTAGAGCTCAAAGATACTGGTCTTAAGAGTTCCATTCTCGAACTCCTTTAGTATAGCAAGAGTCACAGTGGTCTATCCACAGACCCACCACCCTTAGTAAAATGAGAGACACTGGTCATCAGGTACATGGTATAAATGGGTTTTTAACTTCAAAAGTTTAATGCCCAGTTTATCAATTCCACCTTGCAATCCAGATGTCTTTCTTAATAAAAAAATAGCGGTAACTTATGGTTGTATCCTGGCAATTGACTCTGTAGAATAGCAATATACAAAGAGGAGAGATTCTCAGCCAGGCAACCTGCTTTGGAAGGAAAAATGCAGAGATAGTGTTAACCTTCCTTCCTGGGGAGACAACTTTCAACTGATATATACGTGTGTGTGTTAAAAATCCAGAATGTAAAGGGTGGCAATCCAGCTCCTTGGGCTT